GTGCACTTTACCAGGAGCTGCGAGGCTGTGGCCGCGTCTGAGCTGCTCGAGATGGCGTGCTGAGGTTGACGTTGAGAGCGTTGTTTCGTATATACCACCTTGCCCTGCGTCTATCCACTTGTGCTGGTGGCAATAGCGACAGACAAAGAAAAGACGATCGGGGTCCTTAATAAGCGCAACGCGATAGCCGTAGCGGTATACCCAGCTTTGCGCTGTTTCTGGGTAGCTACAGGCTTGCAATATAGCGGCAAGCGCGCCCAATCTATGCCATCAAAGTTGTCGGCAAAGCGCTCATCAAGACCCTTGTTGCAGTCCTCACTACTGTCCTCGTCCTCCCAGTTATAGCAACTGTCGCGGCGCTGCTGCCTTCGGTTGGCGCTACAATAGCGGCTTCAGGCTGACTCTCGCGAAACTGCGACTCGAACGTGGGCGGCTCGGTAGCCTGAGACGCGGCAATCGCTAGGGCTTTGCGTGGTGAAAGACGCTGAGGTAGCTGGTGGCTCTCATCGATGTTGAAAGGCTGCGACTTAGTGCCGCGAGCAGCGACTTTGGCGCGCTTATTTGGTGTAAAAGCGTTTTTATGCGGACGTTTAGGGGGTCGGGGAGGCGACATAGCGACGATAGAGGCAAGTATAACACCAAAAAACGCGTCAGTATACGCGAACAGGTGGGCTTTAGCAGCTCTAGAACGGAGATAATCACATCAAGGTTGTGCGCTAAAGCATAGCTGACTAAGCGAAACTCAACACTAGAAATGCATCGCGAGATCGCTAGTACGGCAAACTAAATAGCCTCACCAACATTGACGCTAAAACATCAAGCCAATCAAGCCAATCAATCAAGCCTTAGGGAGGAAGGCTTGATTGACTGCAAAATTGCTAGGCAGAAGCTTGGCTTGATCGGCTTGGAGTTTCGATCAAGCCTCAATCAAGCGCTTGTATTCAGCTTGATTGTTGACAAGTCTGGAACCAACGTCCTTGAAGCCGTTTCGCACACGTTTCCGCTGAGGTGGCATCGTGTAGCTAACCGTGTAGTTGAACGTGTAGTTGAACGTGTAATTGACTGTGTAGTTGACTGCGTAATTGACTGTAAGAGTGAGCGTGCGGTTGAGTGTGCGATTGAGCGTATGTGGCTACACTGGCCCGAACAGCCAAGTGAGCTAGTACATCATCACATGGGCTTATGACGTGATTGGTCGACAGCTGGACTGTGCTCAGTGTGGGGTAGGCATGCGGCATGGGCATAAGCAAGTCGCAGCACTCGTGCAAAATGTCTGCCGTGTAGGATAGACGCTATTGATTACATGGGTGCGCCGGTGAAGGAATCGCCATACGCCCATCAACTTTGCATAGTATTCTCTTCTTCTTCGAACATCGCACATTCATCAGTCCTCTCCCCATCGGGCGGATGGTCCTGCGCCGTGGCAGGATCGCGGAACAACACACTGATCGCATACTTCGCGTCCAGCAGTACTAAGGTCAAAAATGTAGGTCGCGCAGATGTTAAGAATAGGGTCGCGTTGCGCACAGTGTGGCGCACTATTCTACAGCTGCCTAAGTGGGTAGACTGTCGTTTGCGTGATCGGATAGCAGTGTAAGCAGAAGCCAAGCGCCGTTTTACGCCAGGTCTTGCCCCTGGCAGACCATTCTCTGCAGCAGGTCTACGCACACTGTGCCGAGGCATGATTAACCTGTTTCCTTCCTAGCCCTTCTCCAGTGCGTAACGCCGCTTTGTAGGAGCTCACGGATGCCAACGAAAGCCAACCAAGGCATAAGTCAGTCAACCAACATATATCTACACCCTTGCTCACAAGCAATACATTCGCTGAAAATAACGCCAACTCACGGCCTGGACGAGGGATCGCTACGACTGGATTGAGCACGTAGCTCATGCATGTTGTGGCTACAGTTGTTCTGTACAGGCCAGATATGATGTATAAAGATGAGAGAATCGTACCTTGAGCTGAAGCATACTTCCCCACATCACCCAATCAATCCACTTCAAAACCATCAACATCCTGTTCCTGACGATTACGATGACAACCCACAGCATGTACGCACTATCAGCCGCTGTCAGGCCTGGCTGACAATATATACTATCCTGCACCCTGATCAGTAGTTCACTGATCATACGTACCTTTTTGGTTGCATGGCGTAGTGGTGCAGGGCTGCGTCCTGACAGCCGCTACCTCTTGATAGTTTACTCACTATTTTCCAGAGCGTCCTGGATGCCCTACATAACAACAAGAACAACGGATATAGGATTGGATTGTTGATCTATGTCCACCTATGCCACGAAGAAAACACTGCGAACAGACAATACCCTAGTAACGTTACTGGTTGCAAAACTTGCCAGCTATAAGAACATCGCTGAGAAGGACAACTATTGATTTTAAAGAGCGCGGATATTCGATACGGAATCGATTAGGTCGGTCGGGAATTAGGAGCTATAGCTTGCGCATCTATCGGTCATATGCTTGAATGTTCTATTGTTAGATACTGGGGCTACGATATTGGCGGCGGCTATCAATTCATACCCGGTCGACGATCCTCACACGCCCTCTGCATATCGCACGATCGTCTACAGTATACTACAGTGCTCATCGCGCGGCTCAACCATCTGCTGCTGATGAGATGAGTTGGCAATTTTGTACGAACTGATTGTATTGTTGTCGCAAGCCAAGCGCTGTCGGGAACATGAACCTTATTACTAATAACGCCATGTGATGACCTCCATATAGGCTGAGCTAGGATGCTACAAACAATAGAACATATACACTCTTCTTAATTTCCCATATTTGCAACACCGCACCTATCCGTGCGACACTAAAGTATCAGTACTTAGCGAAAGAATGGGGTCCGCAAGACGACAAATGTGGCGTAGAGGCGGTTAGGAGACTATGGGAGCAAGACTACAGGCCTAACACCTCTCCTGTCGACTTCTATAGCTCACGCCAAAGCTCCCTTGCTTTATCCCAGGACAGTGAGCTGCGCCAACCCCTGAGCGAACGCAATCGTAACGAGCGGCCCCGTAAGCGGATGAAGTACAGCAATATTGACGAGCTTATTAAACAGCAGCGTCATCTACCCCACCCGCAAAAGATCGGTGATGAGCTGACGCTGTACCTTGAGGCTGAGCTCGAGACTGACGACGATCTCGTCTCCTTTCAATACTGGCTCCGCTCAGCTGTTCGCGCTAAGTACCCTTCTCTTGCTCGCATGGCAATCGACATGCTGTCTATCCCAGCAATGAGCACGGAGGCGGAGCGTGTCTTCAGCTCTGCTGGTTTTATACTGAACTCTAGACGACGTCGACTCCGCGAAGAGACTCTAGAAGCTATGCTATGCCTTACACACTGGGGTAAGCTTGGCCTTATAACCCTTGCTAAACACCGTAGTGACGCAGTACGCGGTAACGAGATGGCGGAAGTACAATGCGTATCAAGTAGCAGTACCAGCAGCGAGGGGTTGTGGGACGATAGCGATGAGGGAGAGTAGCATAGAACGCGCCGGGAACCTACTATTGATGCACCCTATCTCCCTCCTTCGATACCTGTTTACATTATTTATGTAAGGGTGCGATGGGTTGACCATAAGTGCAAGGTATAACAGTAATGAATTCGATAGAGGAGCTACACTACGCTTGCGCTGAGTCTATGTATCACGTAGTGCTAGGTTCGAGAAACTTTTAAGGGTCCGTGGAGCGCCGATGAAGCCCTGACAACGCTCCGAGGGTTGCAGCCTATCCCAACCAGCTATAACGAAGGCCACAGGCCAAGTACTACTAACCAAGGCTTCAGCCTCTTACAGAGCAGTGAGGCTGTTTTGTCTTTCTGCCTTGTGGGCATAGTGTTGCAAGGTCCAATGAATTGTCTGAGTAGCTGCTTTCCCTTCGTGCTCCCGCAATCTTTCATATCCAGAGAGCATTCAATGCTTTCCAGCGTATCCTCTAGGAGCTTCCCCATACAGTCCCAATACATCTTTGCCGACTCCCGCAAGAGCTCTGGACAGTCCTCCAAGGCCTGCAGAATGATATACTCCTTCTCTCCTGGAATCTTGCGCCAATTTTCCCATCTTTTTTTTTTCTTCGATTGATTGGTCGAAGAACTTTTGGCTGTTCGCGAGTAACGCTTCAGAGGCATGGAGGAGCAGGTGCAGGCTTGTTTGTGGAGGATATGGTTCCGTAGTATCCACAGCCGTCGTAGCACCTGAATTGGGTGGTGCGAACGCGATAGGCGTCCATCCTAGTTTTGAGAGATGATCCTGATTCTTATCGGCGACTAGTGGTAAGGGCGAGGCAATGAGCTCTGGTAGAATATCTTGCGACATCTCATAAGAGTTGCACTTGACTAAGAGGGTGAACGAAAAACATTACGACTATATAAGTGAAGAAGTCTGCAGCATACATGTGTACATTGCAGTAACGTGACCGTTGCACCCAGCTGCTGCCCTCGGCGATGCTCGTCCTGCGTGGTTTTCCATCCTGCGTGGTTCTTATCCCGCGTGGTTCTTATCCCGCGTGGTTCTTATCCCGCGTGGTTCTTATCCCGTGTGGTTCTGCATCCCAACAATCACCACGTGAGGCCACGGGCCGTTGCCTGCGTCGCGACCCTCCTCTCCCCACGTCGGACAGTACAGTACAGTATAGTACTGTGAAAGCTGCAGTCAGATAACGCAGCGACGCCGAGAGAGCTGTTCGCTAGTGAGCTGACCAACCTCCAGTGACTTGTCTTGCGAAATGACGATGGATGCCTTCCCCAAGAAGTCGAACGAGGAGCGAGCCAGATGCAGAACCCTCTGCCGCGAGAAGCTTGCACAGCACATCGGTATGGAAGAAGCACTCAGATAGGCGCGTTCGCTGATGCAGGACAAGAGCAGCAGCTAGGCTTCCGGATTGACCCCCTGCAAGTTAGGCTCATCACCAGCCCGGACGAACCTTATGCCTGGAGCTACATGCCAGATAAGGCACACCTGTTTCAGAAACATCTCAGTAAACACACGATGGGCGCATGCGTAGAGCTTTCCGTCGGGGTGGGGAAGACGTTTGAGGCAATCAAAGCCCCTGGGGCGCCTGATTGCCTGACAGAGGTCGATGTCAGCTTCACAAGCAAGATCGAGCAGTTGGAGCAGAGTCTTGCATTGCTAGAGCAGGACCATATCCACGTGGTCGAGGAGTGCGAACGCTTGAAAGTACAGGCGACAGAGAACGGGCAGCTCAGAGTGAGCGCGGAGAACGAGCTTGCGGCCAAGAAGGCTGAATTGGAGTCCGCCCACTCTGTCATCCAGGACTTGCGCCGGGAGCGGCAAGTCGCATCTGAGTTGTCAGAGAGGTTGCAGCAACAGAGAGACATTTGTGTACAGGAGATGAAGGAGATATCCAGGTTGTTCGACAACGTCAGATCTAGATTATGTACCGTTGCTGAACCTGCCACTGTGTGACGATCTCGGTATACAACATGACTTTCTGTCGTGGAGATAATACCTGTGGCGGACAGACATGCGCCTGTACAGAACTCGTAAAGCACGCGGCATTGTCGACGGTTTGTTGTTAGACTTGTTCAATAAAGTCCGCAATAAGGCTCCCCAGCCGCCAGAACTTGTGCGCAGGCGACCATTTTATCCTACAAGACGTGCCCCAACTTCAAGAATACTGCAGGACAGTGTCGTGCTGCCCACGCTGACGTGCTCACAACGAAAGGCAAGGGACATGACACACACTTGACAGTGTACGTGATTAGAAACCCGATACAATTTCGCGTCCATGCTACGTACAACAGTCTACATATCGATCCTTCCTTCTGTCATACAGTATCAGTGTCCTTCAGGCATCCAGATCTCCTTTAATCGGGTTCCTGAACGGCAAACCATATCTCCGCTATCCAGAACGAAAAAACCGTTTCCAGCGCCTCTTCGCACGCCATCTGTTGTATTTGCCAGCTGCGGTCTGGTACGAGTTGGCTCTGCGTGCTCACTGCGGTCGATGCTCGACGACTTTAGGGGAGCATCCAGGGTTACACAGTCGCAAGCAGGAATCAAGCCCCGAACAGAACACTTTCAGCACGTTACAGTATGGATGAGCGGTTGCTACTGTATAGCAGAGCAAAGTACAGTGCAATCAGCAGCTTGGACGCTGCAAAGACCACATATCGATGCACACTGGCACTTAGATCGACAAACCAACATGCCGTCAGCACAACAACTCACTCTTCTGATCGCCAGGGCGGAGGACGATAGGCTTGCAGATGCGGATACTACGTACAGTACACTGTGCTCCTGATACCACTTGGGATCGTACTGCTTCTGGATAGAACCACTCGGGTAGGGACCACTCTAAGTGAGCACCACAGCGGTAGTCGGGTCCGTCGTCTAGGCAAGGTTTCTGTTCTAGATGGAGAGAGTGGCGCGTGTCGAGACTCTCGTGCGGTAAAATCTAGTAAGATCTCTCCTGTCATTTCAACATCTTCACTCAGGACAGAAACCCCCGGGATGCGCAGGGCAAGCCAGCTGAAGGCTTATCCACTCACTCGCCCCATTTAAAGGCGAGAGACCCGGCTGTATATTACACCATTCGAAATCACCCACGCCGCCCAGGTACAAGCTTCGAGACGCTTCGACGCCGCCGCCAGTACCCAATGCGTACGGAAAGAGATCTCTACAGCCTAAGTCGAAGGCGACCGGACAAACTACCCTACAGAGCGTCCGTACTCTCCATCGCAAGCCTGCACACCGAGACTCTCAACATCTGGTCGCATCTACTCGGCGCGCTCTGGTTCGGCACCAGCATAGTGCGCTTCGCCGTTGTTCACCAGGGTCCGCTCACCCGTGATGCTGTAGGTGTTTCGTTGTACCTCGTGGCTACGGCTCTGTGCTTCGCGAGCTCGACCCTCTACCACGTCTTCGCCGATCATGTTCACGCCTGGTTCTGGCTGCGCATCGACCACGTGGGCATCGTCTGCGCGATCTGGGCCACTTCAGTCTCTTTTACGCTGGCCTCGCTTGAGTGCCGACAGGGCGAGCGATGGACGTATACAGCCCTCGTCACCGCCGCTGCTGGGCTGTCTCTTTTTCTACTCGCCCGCGTTCAAGAGCACGACGCGAGATCTCGGAAAGACCGGCTCAGCGCGCACGTGGCTTTTGGAGCGGTCGCAGCCATACCCGGGCTGCGCTGTTGGTACCTCCACGCTCAAGGGCAACGCGTCGAGCTGCTGGAAGAGTTCTGGAGCCTCGTCATTGGGAACGGCGTCGGAGGCGGCATCTATGCAACTCACCTTCTCGACAAAGCTATCGGTAGGGACCTCGGCTTGCCAGATATCAGCCACCACGTCATGCACATCATAGCGGTCGCCGGAGCCTGGATGTACCAGCAAGGACTCTTGGCTGTCTACGAGGCTCGCATAGCTGCCAATAGACCATGGTTGTGTCTGTGAGTAGAGAAGACACGGTGCGTGGCAAGGAAGAAGAGAAGATTGGCAAAGAATCGACGTGGTGTTGTCGATGAAAGGGTGACAGCAGGAGTGGTGATAGTCCTTCAATACTCTTGAGGTTGACCTTTTCGGCGGATGGATCCGCTGCTTTATGATGAGGCTTCCTGCTCACTAGCTGTGGCACCGGTGGGCGCGAGGCGCACGCCCAAAGTTATGTGTCCCTATTAGTGTTGTGCGCGTTGGCTC